GCAACGAGCACTGTCGTCGTTCCAACAATCGGCTAAGCTATGAGAGTGCGAGGTCGAGGAGCACATGAAATGCCACACCAGGGTCGAGTGAACGCGCCAGGGATGGGACGGTTTACAGGAGGGGAGCCGCGCTGGGCCTAGGGCTTCGCTGGGAGCCACACCGTGAAGGAGATAGGGACCCGTCGAGGGAAGAGTCAGGATGAAGAAAAAGGTGCACGGCAGTGAGTTGTGCGGGGAATAAAATTCCTAGGAAGAAGTAAGGAGCTCCCTACACACCTCTAGGAGACGGAGCTAAGAGAGGAGATTTGAGGGCCTCCATAAAATAGGGACCCATGTTAGGGTCTGTTGGATTAAGTTGTTTTACTCTACCACTAAAAAGCATAATAGAATTCGTTTAGGGTACATGTTGGGGATGCTCTAACAACATCTCCAAGAGTCTTTCTAAATGCCACTCTCTGAATTATCATTTGGAGTGCTATTTACATAAAACCGTTTTCTATTTTTTCCACACTTCAACATTTTTATTCTATCTTGTGTGCACTCTAGAGAGTCATTCTCGTTTTCTATCTTTGGCTAGAAGAAATCCAGAATAGAAGATGACTATGTTTGGATAAAAAAAAATTAAAGAAGTTGTTGGAGGGTATTTTTTTCACTAAAGTCTCTATTCCTAGCAATTAGAAAGTATACATAGACCTGACAGTGTTTTTCTTTTACCAGGGCGCAGTTGGCAATGAGCTAAAACTGATTGTTAGCGAAGTCGGTTCATGACTTCATGTCCCAGTACTGTCGCAATGATAATCAGTAAACGCATAAGTGGAGACCAGAAGACAAAACAACTGCTAAGGTAAGCTAGTATATATAGCAAATACCACATTAATTTTACATCTTCATCAAGGCATCAAGCACCAGTAACAATAACTTTCTTCCTGACTTTCATGAAGTGGTTTAAGTCGTCTTTAACCTAGAGATAGAAAAAATAATATTATAATTATCTCATACTCCCTCCGTCCTGAAATATAGTGCATTCTGACATTTGAAATTTATCCTGAAATATAGTGCATTCAGGGAACAAGAAGATAATATTTACTTAAATAAAAATACGTGATTATTTTGTATTATAAGGAAAATAATTTATGTACTTGCCATATTTCGTATAAGGTGACTAAGAGTTCAACATTTAATCATGCAGAATAGAATCAGATTTCAACACGAGGTTAAGCGAGGGGTATATACGTCTATTGCACTCTCTCTTATTTTGTTTAAGAATGACCAGAATGCACTATATTTTAGGATGGAGAGAATATATATATATATATATATATATATATATATATATATATATATATATATATGTAAAAAAGCAAAGGACTAGTCTATAAATACATGCTCTTGAATCGGATTGGATCTTAAAAGAAAGTATCAGAAGTTAGTAGAAACCCATATATAACCAAAATTGTTTATGTTTACTTTTTTTTCATTTTCTAATACAATGCAGATATTCTATAATACTTCTATATATATATAGGTGTTATAGACCTCGTCTACCAATTACTTGCTCTTTATGTCTTTCCATCCATATTGAATGTTTAATTTTCCATGTGTGTCCACAATATATATACAGTTGGAAATTCAAGTGCTTATCAGGGCGGATGTTAATCTATATAGAGTTTAGCTGTTTAGGGGTACAGGCGCACCACACCAAAATGCAAAAGCGGTGATTATGACCAAATGTTCACCATGTATACATCTCTGTAGCACAAATTCATGCACTCCCCAAGACATGCACACTTGTCCAATTTGCCTTATCTTCACCCCTAGTGCCTATTGTACCTTGTATTCAAAACTATCATTTTAGGACACCAGAGTAAACTAACTGTTGACACAAAAATATAGCGATGTGATCAACACACAGCAAGCCGGAAGATCTGAGATCTGTTTGGCTTTAACACAGAACCAGTTGATTCTGAAAACCCAACGACGTGCCAGTCAATTTGACCTGCAATTGACAAGGAGAGAAAAACTTATCAATAATTTAAGGTGAAATATGTCGGTGTTGCACCAAACAGTTCCAAATATACGGCTAGATAGCTGATTCAATGAGGCTATCGACTAAATAGTCGATATCCAGCGTATCCATGAAACGAAGATCGGTAAATCAAGCATTATCGGCTAATATTAAATGATAATGATATGAATCAAAATAACCGATGCTCATGGAACATCAGAAAACATCATCAGCTAAATAGAACATGATTGATATAAAACATCGAGCCAATAAGTTTAATGAAAAGAGTATAACATGCAAACAAATTGACTATCTAATATAAATGATTCTACAAATAATTTTGAGTCTAATCTATTATTACCAACAGTGAGGTTCGATTGAATCGATGCAGCTATGATAATAATAATAAACTAAAGCCAAATAATCTATAAAACCATCTATACGTTGACAGATTCATGAAAACATGCTATATGCGTTAGAGTATAGGCAAATCGACTAAAATAGCCAATGCAGGCATAGCAAACAAACAGAGTACATATCTCGATCATGAACAAAACCACTAATCAATAATTTCTAATCTAAAGTCTTACCAGTGAGGTTCAATAGGACCGATGCAGCTATTGTAATATCCTTAGATTATATCTCATTGACTAGTGAGTTTATTCAAGATTGAAACATGTCTTTGGATGCATACTATGTTTGATTGGAATAGAGATAAAATAGCCGATCTAGCGAAATTAAGTCATCAATTATGAGATTTAAAGTGTGACCAGATCAAAGGACGACCAATTAAGATAATATGATACCGATCTATCTCTATCTCAATCAGGTGATTTGTTATAATTAATAAAACATTAATTATAACAAGATCGATAACTGGTGAATCAACCAAAAACAGCAAGGAAAATCTTACTAATCTTAACAGATTCGATAACTGGTGATATTGTATTAAACAATAAGTTATTTAACACAAGATCGATAACTTTGATCTATATTATGATTCGTAAGAGATCAATCAGCTGATGCAGCCTTACAAACTACGATACAGATCGATTACTAACTTATATTATGGCTCATAAAGATCAATCAGCTGATGCAGCTTTACAAGCACAATACAAGTCGTGACAGTACTCACAAGCAAGCTAGAGGTCGATCAATCGATGCAGCCCTGTTTACTGAAGAACTCGCCGAAAAGCTATATTACTCCTACTCCTAAGAGTTGACGTGAAGCCGAAAAAGTAAAGACTGATTTTAATTGATGTGTGAATCTCTTTTACAATAGGTACATATTTATATCCTAAACTAGAGCCCCTGATAGCCTCCGTACGTGACTTGCCTAAGAAAACGATACGAAGTAAAAAAAAAAAGCATGGACTCTAATTCCCTTATTTAAAGTCCTCGCTAATGAAGCCTTCTTGACCTACGTCTTTTCTTGTCATATCCTTGCATCTACTGTGTACGCGTATTTGTACAATATGCCTGCCGATCTCCACTGGAACAATGCATGCATCACGTGGTAATCTTGGGCTTGCCGTGCAATCTTGCCAAACAACAGAGTCCATGTCTGACACCTCTCCGTGCTCCTTTGCTCTGCCCTCTCCGCGATATATGCCTGGGCGTCATGCTCTTCCTAAATAAATAATATTTCTTTTCCTTCCCGTATGCATTCATCTGGTGATATTTTCATGCACATACACCTCACGCTTATCCGTTTATGGCAACCAATAAGAGTCTGAGGCCATCAGAGATTGCACGCATGCATTTGATGCCAGATTAATCGACTCTGCTTTTCTTCCTTTAATCCTCCTCCCTTTCTATTCTTTTTCATTTACGCCGGCAGCACCTGGACTCTGATTATTTAATCTGAATTAATTATCCAAGGCAACCTTGTGATGCTGAGCTTGGATTGAAACGTGGTCGAACATAATAATCACCGTGCATGAGGATATATTATAATAATTGTCTCAAGTCATGACGTGCGCACTTTCCTTGATCTTCTTGCTTCTGTTGCTTTTCCATATATATCTTCACATGTGGAGCACTTGGACTTCATACCTCTTCTCCCAAATTAAAGAATATTTCTTGGCTGGTGAGCACATCGGCCGATTCCTTCCTTTCAAGGGCTTTGTCAAATTTTGGTGCAAACACATTTGGTTCAACTACTCCTGCAACTATTTAAGTTCAAGATTTTGTTTTTTACTTTGCTCACATACATGTTGAGTTAATTTTAAATTTTATGAGGTGACAGCAAACATCATATATTTTTTAATACATTATGATTTTTCATAATTATATTTCCTACAATTTTGTATGTCTAGGGTTAATATAAAATTTTATGAGGTGACAAAAAACATCATATTTTTTAAGAAACACATTATGATTTTCATAATTATATTTCCTACAATTTTGTATGTCTAGGGTTAATATAAAATTTTATGAGGTGACAAAAAAAACATATTTTTTTAAGAAACACATTATGATTTTTCATAATTATATTTTCTACAATTTTGTATGTCTAGGGTTAATATAAAATTTTATGAGGTGACAACAAACATCATATTTTTTGAAGAAACACATTATGATTTTTCATAATTATATTTCCTACAATCTTGTATGTCTAGGGTTAATATATCATTAAATAATAATAACAATAACAATAACACCAACAACAATAATAATAATAATAACTATGGTATTATTTTTTAAGAAAATGAATTATGATGTGCTTTGTGACCTCACAAAATTTAAAATTAAACTCAACTTGTGCGCGGAGAAACGAAAACAAAACAAATCTTGTTTGGATAAGTTGGACCAACTGGGAGACTAAATGGAACCAAAAATTAGTTTAGGGGTTGTTTGCACATAGGCAGAACTTGAGGGAAGTAATTAAGATTTTTTGTATAATAATATTTTAGCCCAAATATATAACTAACTTTAGTAAGTAGCTAATTCCAAGTTACAATATATAATTTTGGTAAGTAGCTTATTGATCCCCATGTGCACGTGCAGCTTGTCCAACGCGCAGCAACTTTGGGACGAATGGGAGCTCCAATGCTTGGTCGTGGCCAGCTTTGCCTTGCAGGCCTTCTTCCTCTTCGCCGCGAGCATCCGGCGGCGCAACCCGTCGACCGTGCTCCGCGTCCTGCTCTGGCTCGCGTACCTGTCGGCGGACTACGTCGCAGTGTACGTCCTCGGCCACCTGACCCTCAAGATAGGCGAGCCACGGCACGAGCTGGTGCTCCTGTGGGCACCGGTCCTGCTGCTCCACCTGGGCGGGCAGGAGACCATCACGGCCTTCTCCATGGAGGACAACGAGCTGTGGAAGCGCCACTTGCTGGGCCTCGTGACGCAGGTGGTGCTCGCCGTCTACGTCGTGGCCAAGTCGCCGTCGTGGCGGCGCGGCAACGAAGAGCTCCTTGCTCCCGTCGTGCTCATGTTTGTCTCGGGGACCATCAAGTACGCGGAGAGGACTTGGGCGCTCAAGACGGCCACCTCGGAGACGATCAAGGGAAGCCGCATGGGTGATCTCTGCAAGACCATGTCGAGGTACCAAGCCGGAGACAGATCGCAGGCGTCGATCGACAGGTACAACAAGGACATCGTGGGCCGCAGGAAATGGTGGCTGCAGGAGGAGTACGCCGACCTCGTGGAGGCAGCCGGCGACAGCTTCCCCAACTGCATAAACGCGTTGATGGACATCCCTGTGGCGCCATGGTTGCTACCGCAGATATGGCCTATTATAGAGGAGATGATGGAATCCGGGAGAAGGAGTGGTTCCCGTCCAGGGCGTACAAGATGGGCGAGATCCAGCTCTCACTAATGTACGACCATCTCTACACCAAGGTCGGCCTGAGGTACGCGCACGCCCAGCGCAGGCCGCCGGCGGTCGTCTTCACCACCCTTGGCCTCCCGCTCCTGACGCTCGCCACCACCTCGTCGGCTCTGGCGCTATTTGCTACGACGACGACGAGGAGCAAGGGCGGCGTGTCGTACTACAGCGCCGCCGACGTGGCCGTCTCCTACATCCTGCTCGCCGGTGCCGTGGCGTTGGAGGTGCTCTCCATCCTCACCTTCGTGCTGTCCTTCCGGTCCTATTGCTTCCTGCGGGAGAAACTGGGAGCAGGCAGCAGGCTCACCAGGGCCGTCTTCTGGTCGCTGAAATCCGTGCGGCCCTACCACAAGCCGCTGTGGTCCAACAAGTGGGCGCAGTACAACTTGCTGGCCGGCTGCATCAGGGAGAAGCAAGCCGGCTGTCTCTCGAGGATGATGCGTCACGTCGGCCTGCTGGGGGACACCAAGCTGCGCCCCATCTCCGACAGGACCAAGGAGCTCATCTGCAACGAGCTAAACGACTGGACTAGGATACAGCAGTTCAGCCATGTCCGAGGCCAGGGCATCCTGTCGTTGAGGGGCCTCGCCAAGGACTCGGACCTGTACGAGAGCATCGACAAGGTGGACTTCTCCACCAGCGTCGTCATGTGGCACCTCATCACCCACATGTGCTCTCTTCTCGCCGCCAGCAACAAGGACGGCGGCGGCGGCGACAGCCGGGATGATCACATGCTTCTGGCCATGGAGGTCTCCAACTACCTCATGGACCTAGTCCTGGAGCGGCGCGTGTTGATCAGCAGCGAGGGCCACGTGGCGCACCGCAAGGCCCGCGAGGAGGTGAAGCAGATCCTCGCGGAGCACGGCAAGACGAAGCAGGTCGACGCCGACGACGCCGAGGCCGTCAGGGGAGGTGCTGGAGGCCGTCGTGCGCAAGATCAGGGACCCCGCCGAGAGGGCGGAGGGGGCGTACGGGCAGTTCGCGCGCAACCAGTACGAGACCATCAGGCCCGTGCTGCCGCGCGCGTTGAGGCTTGCTCGCATGCTGCTCTCCGGCCAGGACGACCCCGGAACAGGCGGTGATCGTGTGTGGGAGCTGATCGCGTCGGTCTGGATCGAGATGCTCTTCCACCTCGCCACGAGATGTGAGGCCGGCTTCCACGCCAAGAACCTCTGCACAGGCGGCGAGTTCATCACCCATGTCAGGTTCCTGCTCCTTAACCGAGGGATCGGCTGGAACTTTGTGCTTGGCCGTGCTTGACAACCGGCCTTGGAGAAAATTCTATGGACCATATCAGGGAATGTTTCAGCCACGTCAGTTAACTTGTGCCAACTGGAATGTTTGTTTATTTGTCCTGTATCGTATTTCAGAATAAAAAGTTTGTGTAGGTATATACTATATATATATGGCCACGCAATGCAACGAAGATTAATTGGCCCGCAAAGCAGACGATGAGTGTAAGTGTAACCATGTAAGCTCTATATTTGCAGACATAAATATAAATATTAAATCTGTGCGTAAATCGTTACAAAATCTTGTATATCAGCATATACTATCTCTCATGAATATATCATACTAATTTGCACTGTGACTTTGTGAGCATAGGAATATCGCATATTGTTTTTCAACAGGTCGAGTTTGGCAAGCGGTAGAAAAAGATCAAGCCCCGGACAATCTGGTCATGTCACCGGAGTATTCACCCAAAATATTTAATAATGTTAAGGCATGTCTTTCACGTTCCAGTTTCCAAAACTCTCATATATTTTTTCTCGATTATGCAAAAGATTTACGCATCATTGTATTAAGATAAAGAAAAGTGAGTTTTTACAACGACGCGCCACTGATCAGGCGCGCTGGGGGCCTTAGGGTGTTATAATAAGCTCATCCCCGCCTAGCAAAATGGAGTACATGGCGACTACTCGCGCAAAAGTCAACCTAGCTTAGCCGCCCCGACGTCGATCCATTGGTCTACGATGTGCCTGATCAGCGCGCAAGGACTTGCAGGACCATGGATGAGTTGTCGCAGAAGCATCTCCCGTTTCTCTCCTTCCATAGCTCCCACGCAACGAGCGCGAACAATGAGTCCTCCCCCCGCCATTTGTCTCCTGTACAGTGCGTCCGCCATGAGTTCCACCACGACAAGAGGGTCTCCTTGCCAACCTAGGAAGTGTCTGCGCCTAGGGCCGCCAGGATGCGCCACCAAACTTGTCTAGAGAAGAAACACGATGCTATGATATGGTCAATGGTCTCCAGTTCCTTGTCGCATAGGAAGCAGTGGTCAAGCGCGTCGAGGCCATGATGGAGTCGCCTGTCCGCAGTCCAATGCCTTCAACGCACCGCGAGCCAGAGGAAGATCTGGACCCGTAGTGGAGCCCAGGTGCCCCAAATCCGCTTTTCAGCCAGGGATGGGGCGGTGCGAAGCCGAGTGAAGCGCTCTGTAAGCCGATCGTGTGGAGTATGTTCCGTTCGCAGACCACCTTCAAAAACCATGGTGTCATCGGCGTCGTTCAGCTGGACTTCCCGCACATGATCCCAGATGTCCATGTGTACTCCTGGATCACCGGTGCGGTAAGGCCGCCGGTGATCTGTCTAATCCAATACCAGTTGGGGATGGCAGAAGTGACCGTTGCCGTGCAACGAAATGACAGTCGATGAGGCTGGTGAGTGTGGGCGCTAAGTCTCTTAGATGGCGCAACCTTGTAGCAATCGCCCTGTAGACAAGTTTTATTTCTATGAAACTCTTTTCATTCTTTTATCATCTCTACTCATCTATACTATGACGTGTCAGCTTATTTCGTCCCATGAAAGTTTCCTAAAACCCCCACTGGGACTGCCCTAAGTAGATCTGTTGCAAAAGCTAGTGGGAAACAAGTGTGGATCTAGCACCAGGGCAGGGTGGGCTCAAACCACCGGAAGCATAATCGAGCCCTCCTAAGCCCCCTATAATTTAGTATCCATGGAAGCTTAAAAAGAGGGGCTAGAGATGAAAGATAATGGAAGAAGCTCCCCCTAACCTATTTGCTAGATCCACCACTGGTGGGAAAAGTTTGTATGCACCGGATGATCTAGCATTTTTTTTGGTAGAAGTACAATGACTAGTTGAGATTGGTGGGCCTATTTAAACTCCATCCCTGCTTGGGTGTTAGGAGTGGGCTGGAGTACATTGAAGAGGAGAAAATTTGCTGCTACACTTGAGAGCATTCCATGCCACCACTTTGTGCTAATTGATCACATATTTGCTTACATAGTGTTTAGTGCGAGATTAAGGCTTGTTTAGGCTTAGAGTGAGATTAAGATGGAAGTATGATAGATTTAGGTTTTAATTTATGCATTACTTTTTTAAAGCACAGTCCAAACCCTCCCTCTCTTCTTGGGCCATTTGGTTCTCCCACCAACCTATACCAGCATTAAAGAAATTGAAGCAAGGTGTCGGTGTTTCGAGTTGCCACCAACAAGTAAATTTCTAATATTGCGCGTCTGGCCCGGATGGTGTGCTAAGAGGACACGAGGTTTATACTGGTTCGGACAGAATATCCCTACGTCCAGTTCGTTGCTACTGCTCGTGTTACTAGCACTGAAAGTTCGTAGTAGGGGTTACAAACGGTCGAGAGAGGGACAAGTCCCAAGTCTCTGGTGAGAGGAGCGAACGGGCGTCGAGGGCTCGGTCGCTTCTCGGCTGTGTGCTTGTGTGTTCTAATCGGTTCGGCGTTCGAGTCCGAATCGGTGTGGTGTGTTGCGATGCGATCGATTCGAGTCGAGTGGCGTTGTTTCCCGTCCCCTTCATGGGACGCCCTGCTTTCCCTTTTATAGGCCAAGGGAAAGCACGGTTACAGTCGAGGGAAAAGAGGAGAATGAGAAGGAGAAGTCTTCCAGGATCGCCGGGTCCTTCTTTTCCTTCACGCAGGTCCCGCCGACCCTGTAGACGTCAACAGGGACAGCTCCACGTCGTGGCCCTGTCCGTCACTGGTGCCATGCGCAGGCGTCGTCTCCCGGTCGTGGCGTTCCACTTTGTCCTGGCGGACATCGTGGTGAACTGACGCGCCTGTCGGTGCCCGTACGAGGGTTAGGCAGAACAACACCGGTACGCTCGATGTTGTTTCTGATGTGAATCCTCAGGTATGGCCCGTCACAGCCACGGGTTAGATCAGGGCGTGCCGGTCACCTCCCTGGTGTTAGAGCTTTGACCCAGGCCCATTTGCTAGGACCTGGAGTGGTTTGCGGCGGTATGGGTCTCCGTCGGGCGAGAAGGAGTCCTCCCCTAGAGGCCGGGCGAGGCGAACTATAGACCCAAGGGTCGAGCGAGGTAGAGCCCGTGGCCTCGGGGTCGAGCGAGATGGAGTCCTCCCCTAGAGGCCGAGCGAGGCAGAGCGCAGACCCAAGGGTCGGGCAAGGCGGAGCCACCCTCAGGGGTTGGGCGAGGCAGAGCCAGCCCTTAGAGGTCGGGCAAGGCGAAGCCCGCGGCCTCGATGTCGGGCGAGGCAAAGCCACCCTCAGGGGTCGGGCGAGGCAGAGCCCACGACCTCGGTGTCGGGCGAGGCGGAGCCAACCTTCAAGGGTCGGGTGAGGCGGAGCCCACGGCCTTGATATCGGGCGAGGCGGAGCCAACCCTCAGAGGTCGGGCGAGGCAGAGTTTGCGCACCTAGGGGTCGGTTGGAGTTGTAGTCGCGCTTTTGACTGCTCGGATGAATCAATGTTGATGGTTATTAGCTTCTCTTCGGGTACCCTAGTATTGGTCCCCGACAGTAGCCCCGAGCCTATGAAGGAGTAGAATACTCCTTCGAAGGCTTTTCTGAACGGTAGGACTCTGAAGGCCTTGGCCTTCTTTTGTCACCCACAGTGTGACCTAGGGATGGTGATTCCCTTTCGTCGAGATCGGACCCCTCGGGGGTATAGCCGTGAGGTTTGGTGGGTCAGAAAAGGTCCTTCTCTGATTTTAACCCCTTCGGGGGTCTATCGTTCTGCGACCGTGTGTTCGATCTCCTTATGAGCCCAACTTTCCTCGAGCCCCTATGCGTAGCTAGGGTCCGGTCGAGGGTCGGCTCGTCTTTGTGACCGTCACCCCGTCCATGGTTTCCGCAACCGGTGGGGCTGAGCCATGTCATGATTTTCCTCTATGGATGAGCCACGGTGCTCAGTGAGTTGTTAGCTGGCTAGTCCAAGTGGGGCCCCGACATCCTGTTTGCGGGGATCCGGCTTGGGTCAACTAGTGACCAACTTCAGACCCTTGGGGTCAATCCATATAGTTCTCGGGTCCGTTCGACTGGTCCCGACGGCCTTCTGCCTTTCTTTTCGAGGGAACGTGGGCCGGGATGCCTGCAGCGCTTGTGCACCTAGGTACCGACCATTAGCGGGCCTATACCTTTCCACCTCTCACCCTAAAGGTATCTAGAGCGGTTTGTCGAACCCGTCAATGGGCCGATCTACGAACTCCTAGGCCCAGTCGGCCCGTAGAGGTACTTTTAGATCCGTATTCCTTTTACTCGTGACGAGTCGTGGCCTGTCCGGAGAGGCAAAATGTCTGGCGAGTTTTCTGAGGGAACGGATAGAGATTTCGTGCGCATGTCTTGTGTCGGAACGTTGTGGCAGATCGTGGCAGGCGCGGAGATCTAGGTGGACGGTTGGTTTCCTCGCATCCGTCACCCCTATAAAACCAAAGGGTTCACCCCCAGGGTTCCATACCTTGCATCCTTGCCTCCGCAGCCACGACCGCCGCCACCAATCACCTAGGGTTCCCCGTCTCTGCATCCCCGCCGCCGTCGAGCCCGCATCCAACCGTCCCCACCTCCAATGGATCCGTGGTGCTGTTCTGACATCACCTTCCAGCGTATGGAGGGCCTCGTCCGTCATGATCGTCTCCACGCACGGACCTCAGCCAAGGAGTTGCTCATGTTGAATGAGGCAACTACCACCTCGTGACGCAACACGAAGCGTTTGTGATGCATTAATTTGCATATGCAATGCTTTGGATGTATGTGATGAATGAATGATGGTATGAATACGTGTTTGAATGTGTTGTATGAGAATAGATGAATGAATGATCATGCATCAGAAAATAAAGTATGACGGTTTGGTAAAGTTACCT